AATATTTGATGTTATTTGTATATTTTTTTTTCTCCCTCTTCCTCCTCCAAAACTAGTCTAAGCACTTGCCAAAGGAGTGAAATTAGTCTGCTTGGTTTCTAGGACATATGGCCTAGTGTAATGGAATGTCCCCACATAGTTGGATTTCTCATTTTTTTTTTCAGGCTAGCTAATTTTGATTGGCTTCCTCCTAGAAACAATCAGACAAGTATTATTGTAACAAGGATCATTTACAAGTAAAAAGGGAAGAAATAGTTCTGTCACTAAAATTAGTGAGCACTAAGAACAAAACTGTCAGAAAAGTTCTCTTGTGTACACATCTCTCTTTGCCAGAACCCCTCTGAGTGGCTGGTATCAGGATATCACCTCAGGAAACAGCTTCCAAGTCTTTTCTTTTGACATTACTTCTCCCCAACGCACTAATCTACATTTCATTCCTTAACTCTGGATGACATAAGTAATCTCACAGTGAAGCACAAGGATCACGTTATATCAGTTCTGCTTAACTTCAGTCCCATTAAAATCAAAGTAGCTATAAAACTGCCACACTATATTTTCTTAGCATCACAAATATACACTAGGCATATGAAGTAGGGAGATAGCTTGTTTTGCCTTTATCAGTTGGAAATGTCAAAGCAGCTCTCCTTTTTATAAAGGCTAAGCACATTTCAGTCCCAACAAATCAATACATCAAAAGGTTTATTATCTCATTATCTAACTAAAAAAAAAGTATCACCTTCTGTGTCAAGAGCATATCATGCAAGTGCCATTTCCCCACTATTTATTATTAGAACTTCTAACTCACTGATATTCACTAGGCCTTTGCCCTTTTGAGCCTGAATTCTTCCCTTACTAATTTTTACGTAACTACTCAATTTAAAACATGACTAACAAGGCAAGGTGTGCATGAGGACCTGACCATGTATCTTATGAGGTCTCCCACTGGCTTGATCTCATATTCTCTGTAGTGCATGTTACGATTGCAGTGTCTGCTCCCTGGCCAATGTAATTGCCTTTTTGTGTTCCTGAGAAGATGAAATGCATCATTTCTGCACTACAGCTAAATTAAGGGGACGAGAGAACATGAGAAATATAATTCACAAATAAATGAATTGTGCCACAGATCAAGACTGCCCCCCAATTCATCTAAAATGAAAAGGAGAAATTAGATGACAATGTTAAATTCTCCATTACGTGAAGCAAATTACGTATATTTTGAAGTGAAGAAAGCAATGGTTCTACAGCACCATTGTCCTTCCAATTCAACAAGCAGCCGCAAAAATGAACTTTAACTGCAGGACACCTCTCTATAGGTGGGAAGAGAGGGCTGGATTTTTACTGGTGAGCTACAGCTCACTCACTGGTGAGCAGCTGAGTGTGCATCTATTCATCAAGGTAGCAGAGAGTAGCAGCTTCTCCTATGAATGGTTGAACAGATGTTTGGAAATCTGTGCAATAGCTTTCATTTCTGGTTATCACTGCTGACTGGGCATGCAGCTATAGTTATTGGTGGGTCTGTCTTAAGCATGTGCATGAAGACAAGGGTCACCAGAACAGTTGGATCTTTTCTGTACGGACCCTTGCTTCTTCTCAGTCTTGCCTGTGCAACTTGGTGGTAGGTGTCCTGAGTTAGACTAATTAAGTGCTGATTAAAACTGATGAAAGATTTCAGGATTTGTCTTGTAGTCAGTACATTAACAACACTACCCAATTTTTCTCGTGAAGCTTAAACACAACTAGTTTCACATATATCATGAATGCCTGATTGTATTCTAAGGGCAGATGAAACTGAAAGGCTTTAAAGTATTCTTTTATTATCCTTCCTGGATGAGTCACCTGGCACAATGAGTACCACAGGGCAGTCACTTAAAATCTGATCAGATCAGTCTTTGTGCCATTGTCCAGCCAGTTCCCTCTCTCTACAAGTACACTTTTCCTCTAGCAAGCTCTGCATCACAGGGCAGGTGCTTCTCACAGTACACTCCATAATCCTTGTCAGAGACCATGCTGGTGTGCTAACGTAACCAATGGCTCTTCCCAAATCATCCTTCAGTTTGAACAAATAACAAAGGTAGGATTCCAGTGTGCATCTCAGAGAAAATGGGATAATTCTATCCCTACCGTGTTCCCAAAGAACAACAAATAAAAGAAAGGACTGCAGCAGAGCTCTGCACACCTTTAGATGCTGTTTCATAACAGTACTTGACTGTTAAGGGAAACTGTCCTATCACTAATTCCCCAGAAAACATAGCAGCTTCCTACCAAGGAATGAAAAAAATCAACTCCACTGTGCAATACGTTCTCTCCTGTGTGGAAGCCAGCAGTGTCATGTCAGGCAAGACATCTGTGTAATCAATACCATAGTAAGTAGCTTCCCTATTGACACTGCAGAAATTGTGCTAGCTGCATTGCATTTGCTTGCCTGAAAGACACTTTACATTGCTCTCTGCCTTTTTTTGTCCCTCAGGCTTGTTTGGTATAGAAGAATCTATTGGAACAATCATTGGGGTTGTGGCAGCTGGTATCGGAGGCCTAGGAGTTCTGATCATCATTTTAACCCCACAGCTAAGGAGATGTGTCCTCTGCATGAAACAAGGCTCTCAACAAGGTATGGAGCACAAAACAAAATCTGGCATAACTTGCTAGGAAGTTACTTGCTTCCAAAGACGCCTTTTTAAACTTAGGTTGGAATTAGACATTTACTTACCACTAGCCAGAGGTCACCTGAGGAGAGTTTGGCGTACCCAAAAGCTTACCTATATTTTCCAGGTCAGTCATCCGGTCTAATAATAGTAAGCTGACACCAAAGGCTGGATTTCAAAACAAGTTTAGTTCCCCTTTTGTGCAACCCAAGATGCGGTCAGCATTTACAAATGAGCTCAGCTCACTGGAAACTTTGCTAAACAGGACTCTTGAAAAACCCATTTTTATTTTCTCTTCTCCCAGCACTAAAAAATCTGATTCAACCTGCTGAAATCAAACCAAACCGAGGCGCAGAAGCCACGCTGAGCTGCGCTCGCTCCTCACTGGAGCGCTGCCGCCCTCTGATGGCCATTGTAGTGGAAACGGGGACATAGGAGCGGCCAGGAGCTCTGCTCCCTCTCCCCGCAGCATTACTGAGCACAGCGTAGTCCATTTCTGCCCACACAGCATCAGCCCTTTGCAAAAACACTGAGAGAGCGGAGTTCGCAACACACTGCCTTGCCAGATTGCCTTGGGGGAGTTTGTTGTGCTGCACTAACCCGGCTCTTTCTTTTTCTTCTTACTCAGCATAGCTTGATCTGCAGAGCTACACGAAACACCAGAAGATGCAAAGGCTAAACACAAAGTAATTTACCATGCCCTGTAAGCCAAAAAGGAGGCTCTAGACGTAATAAAAGCTTTTGCCTCAGCACATGTTGTCTTTGGCATTTGCAATATGTTTATTTTCCCACAGCCTCCTGCCGTGAAGAGCAAAACAACCTTTTTAAAAGGAATTTGTACTGTTATCTACTGAGGGCCTACTCAATCTGGCCACCTATCTCTTTATCTGGACTCTGATGGGATAGTTCAGATCTTTCCCTACAATTACATATTATCTCAAAAGTACTCCAAGCTTGACAGCGCTGCTTCAAAACGAACAGAATGAAAGCTTCCACATGCTAACACCTGCCCAGGGGTATCCCTGTTTACCTGCCCAGAATGTGTGACTTCTGGGGTGTTCTCATCTCCCTAGAAACTTTTCCATCTTGGTGCAGAGGCTCTTGTCCAGTTGGCTTGCTCCAGCCTACAGTTCTGCAACAAAGAGGCAAAGGATCACTTGAATGCTACCTCATGCTGAAAAAATAGGGTTTAGTTTTACTCTTCCAGCACGAAACACAGTGTTCATATATAAACCGTAAGGAAAAAATATTGAAGGTTTGGTTGGTGTAAATAATGTTCTCTATAGCCTGAGTCCCCTGACATGACAGCAGTTGGTCCCCAGGAGGTCAGTGGCAGGGGAATGTGCCCATAACTGTATAGCAGAGCTGCACATCAGTGACTGAAGCACACACATATGACATGTGAGGAACATGCTCTTTTTCACAGTGTAGGTGATCCTCCTGGTAAAAGTCAGAAACCCATGCACCAGAAATATTTCAGTGTGACTTTGCTTACCTTTTCATAGAAAACCATAGAATCATAGAATCGTTTTAGTGGGATAGGACCTTTAAATATCATCTAGTCCAACTCCCCTGCAATGAACAGGCACATCCACAGCTAAATCAGGTTGCTCACTGCCCTGTCTATCCTGACCTTGAAATACTCTACGGACACAGCACCCACCATCTCTCGGGTCAGGCAGTTCCAGTGCTTCACTACTCTTACAATAAAAAACAAAACAAAACCAAAAAAAACCCATTCTTCTCATATCCAGTCTAGGTCACCCCTCTTTTAAACTCCCCTGAAGTGTCCCTAGCCTTGAGGCAAGAACATAAGACAGAAGATGTCTGGCTATGTTAGCTCAGAAACATGTGGACTCTGTAAGAAGGGAGAGAGCTGCACCCTGAGCAAGAGCTCTTCTCTTCCTTTTGGTAGGAAGCAGCTCAGCCACTTCTCTGAGTGCCCATAACAGATACTCAGGATCCCTCCCTTTCCGTTGTTTCTGCTCCTGCAGCTCCAGGAAGATAAAGTGGATCACTGTACTTCAACACTGACATGCCCCGGGTCTTCAAAATCATCTTTTTTTACAGATACTTTTTTCCCTCTCATTTTTTTTTTTTTAAAAAAACAAGTCCAGCAGAAGCCTCTACCTATTTTCTAATTGATGTACAAACGCATGGGAGCTGAAGATCAGGTTGCTATGAAAGGACAAAACAGCCATTTAGTGACAAGCAACGTGTCCTAACATGTTTTTGGAAAAAAGATAGGAAAGTAGGGTTTTATTCTTCCCTCAGAAGTTAGAAGATGCATGTATCTTACCCTATTCTTCCTTCCCATAAATTATGGCCTAAAAGAAATTTTCTCAAGCTATCGTTAGCTCTGGTAAAAGAGGTAAAATTTTATTCCAGTGTGTTCAGATTCAAAGGATTAGAAGAAAGTTCCTTTAAAAACTATTTTGACCCTCCATATCTGAAATGGCAGGTTGGATGAGTCTGCCCACATAAAAAGTCTGGCCAGAGGACGAACTGTGGGTTGTAAGGGGCTGTTCCCCAACACTGGGCTGCTTCTTGGTCACACAGGCACACCATTTTTTCACATGGGTCTGTCAGGTTATCTGCAAAAGAAAATGAACAAGAGATGAAAGATTCTATATTGGATCAAGGGGATGAGCAGTTGTAAGAGTGAGCAAAGCTCTTATTGGGAATACAGGTCATGGGAGGAGGCAGAAGAAGCAAGGAACTCAGCAGCAGGGTTAGCTATCTGATTTCTTTTGGTCAAAATCTACAGGAGCTGATCCAAATCATATACATGAAGCTATATAGAATGTAATCATACAACTGCATGACTAGGTAAGGAGCACAGGGAACATAGAAGCAATTAGCTCAGGTGGATGCACTGCAAAGGACTGATTTTCATATAACAAATCCCATCCCACCTATAGGCATCTTAAAAACATTAAGCTGATATTACCTAAAAGCACAGTGCCTTGTTTATTTGAAGCTGGTCCTATTGATTATCTAACACCCTCCAAAGCCTACAGTAGGCAAAGTTTAAAGTGTAATTTCATGCATGTGTGCCCAGGCTTTGCTCCAAAACTAACTCTAATGAGTAGAAATCTTTCCAGAGTTCACTGGACTTCACTGGATCAACACTGTGTCTAATAAATACACAGAGTCCCTACTTTCAAAGATTTTCCGAGGAGAATCATGTGTCTACAGCTGAAGGGTTTCAATGGGCCCATTCACAAGGACTCAGCAGTAAGTCCTTTTCTTAATTAGCTATCAACACTGCCTGGTTTTCTCCCTGCCCACTGCTTCTTGAGGTCTTCCTGTGCTATGCCAATCACTGCCAGCCTAATGTCAGAGAGAGACTGCCTTGTAAGCCAGTTCTAAGAGCACAATGTTGCTTTTAATTTTTTTCTGAGCAGACCCCACAGCTCAACCCCTTTTTTTTTTTGTATTCCAGATATTTACCATACTTATGTGTGATGGCCTAACTGAAATACATGGCTTTGCTGCTTTTTTTTTTCCCCCCTCTCCATTTCACAAGCAAAACTGCATAGCAGTAGCAAACGACGGAGAGAAATCCCAGGTAAAATGAGTTTCTGTTTAATTTACCTGAAAATATCTGAGTTTAGGATCCAGTGCCAAGCCACAGGCATTTAATTTCCTGTTTCATAGCATGCACAGTGAAAGCAATTCTGCTTGTAATTTCTCTGGATATCATTCCTCTAGATCCAGTAAATGTGCCTCAGACTACAACACTTCATTTGTTTTGTCTGAACTGAGTAAGACGTCACACCTTCACACCTCAGTGAAACCTGCTGCAGCCTGGGGTAGGAAATAACCCTTCAGAGAACATTTCCATTGCTCCTCTCCATCGTGGATGTAAGAGAAAGTGAAGTTTATTGATTATTCAGGGAGAACAGTTACCAGTTGTTCATGGGGCCTTGCCTGGACATCAGTTAAGGAATATACAGCATTTGTTTAACTAAAGCTTATGAGGCAGGCTGGAACAAGTGCAGCCCATTGTTACGGGACAGCATTGCATGTCTCACATGTTTGATGATAAACTTCACATCTGCAATCAGGATCATTCCCTCACATCAAAAATGATGAGTTACATATTGAAATAGCTAGCAGAAAATATCAGTTAGCTACTAAAATAAAGAATGGATAAATCAAAAGAGCAGTAATGTCTAGCAAAATATTCCTTAGCCAGTACGTAGTTTAATAGATGGTTCTTGAACTGGGAAAGGATATACAGTGAATGTGTGGTGCCACACCCTCTGTCTGCTGGCATTTTCAGCTGCTCGGGGAGGCTGGGAATTGTACTGGAAGAATATGATCTTCTAGCAAGGTAGAAATAACTCAGTTTTCAAGCAAGTAGCTCTGATGGCATGGGGACAGGTTTTACTCTCACGCATTCCTTTTCAAACTTTCAAAGAGCTACACAAAAGATTTTACCATCAGGGACTTTTGGAAGACTTCAAACTAGAAGTGACAAATTCTAAGACTCAAGTCATCTGGTGCATGTCAAAACAAACTGGTGTGTACTACTGACGGGCTGCTACTGTGCAATCCAAGACCTCCTTGACTGGTACCAGCTGTAGAGCTGAGCAAGCCTACACACACTGTATGTGCCTGTGGCACTTGAAATCACTCAACTCTGAAAGCCTCAAAATCCCATCTCTGAGGCACACAAAGCTTTTGTGTTAGTCAGTGTTTCTGTGGAGGAAGGAGGGAACTAACACAGGCTACTGTGTCCTTACCACACCGCACGGCATTCTGCTCGCACACCCACTGGTAGCGCTGTGCCTTCGGACTGCAGCCCTCTCTCTCTGCCTTGTCGTAGCAGCAGTCATGCCTGTGGCAGCACCTTAGGGAGAACAAAAGGCAGAGTTTGGGATTGGGCATCCTGCATACTTTGCTCACTGGTGTTTTCAGGCATTGCAAGGTTACTCCGCTCACCCACCGCTAATTACAGCTCTGTCAGTAAATCAACAAACAATGTTATGGCATTTCTATGAATGCTCTCTTGTCTTGGGAGCATATTAATGCCATATTTGTCCTCATGAATACCACACGTTTCTCCTTTCTCTATGATTTTGCCTTCAGAAAAACAGGTGTGGCCAGTCCCCAGATCATGGTAATCTGCCATACTGAAAGGAGCTGAAGCATTATGATGAGGTGCCTGACCATGGCTCACCAGCTGAGGTTCCGATCATCTCAGAATCTGGTGTCAGGATGATTTTCACTTTCCTTGGCATCAGTGCAGCAGCTGGCTACAAACTCATCATCCTCAGAAGTGGGATTCATAGCAGTTGACTTTACAACCATAAGCATAAAGGGACACAAGGGACTGACCTATGCTCCCTTCGTGCATATCAAGAGCACAGTTCACATGATCATATTGCAGGGACCTAACAGGTGAAAAACAACACATTTGAAAGTACTGATTGCTTGTCACTGACCATAGAGAAGGCTGAAGGTGGCTAGCTCAGCTGTTGTCTGTACAACAAGACTACTCAGGAAGGACATTTGCTCTGCTAAGTGCTTCAGAATACACAGGAAAACTTCATCCCACTCGAATTTTATTCCAGTAATTTAGTGAAAGATTCAGCAATTGAAGAAATTCTATGATGAGTAACAAGGTTTGTTTCAGCAAGAGTGATACGTCAAAGGCTGGAGTCAGGGAAGAGCCATCTCCTGTTTCCAGAAGCTGTCCTATGGGCACGCTATAGAGGAACAAACATTTCCTCAAAGAGCTTCAGAATGGAAATCAGCCTTACTGGATATAAATACCTACAGGTTTTCCTGTTAAGAGTGACAACAGTTTCTGTAATTCAGCAGGTAAGCTTATTCAGCCCACGGACCCAGCTCTGTTGGGCACGATGGCCATGTGGCTCAGATCTCTGTTGGTCCAGGAGCACCTCACTCCTGGGCTTGTCCTGAAGATGCTGGAAGTGAAAGGGCAAAGGAGAAAAGAATTCATTGTAGAAAGCATGAAAGTCTCAGCTTTCTTCAACCCAAAGGAATGAAACTGCCCTTCAGGGAGAGTCACAGAAGGAATAAACAGGAAAAAAAAAAAGTAGCGAGAGATAGATTTTTGAGACAAGATCTTGTTGGAGGTAGAAGATTGTCTATAAATCAGACAACAAAAGGAGAGCAGAAGAGGTAAGCCAGCTAGCAGTGAAAGCCAGCTGTTTTTAGCTCTTTTAGTGAAAGTCGGGGCAGTTACATGAATTCTGCAGGGCCACAGGAACTGGGGCACAATTCTGCTTCCATTAACACCATTTCCTCCTGCACAGAGTGATACCAACACAAAGCGAGAAGACTAACTCATGTTTTAGCTGCTTTAAAAAGACTGTCAAGGTATGAAGAGTGAGGAAGTCTATCATCCTTTTGCCATCTTCAGACATCTGTTCTATCTGGAAATGCCCTTTCCTGCATCTGGGTCAGAATGTGGCGTTGAACTCTTAATAGCCTGCTAATGCTCAGTCACACTAAAGCAAACAATGCCCGCCAACAGTATGGCAGAGCACTGGTCAGTAATTATAAAAGACAAAAACAACTGGGTTCATCTAGTTAACAAACAACTGACACATCATCTGGTGGGATCAGACAGCCCTAGTGACTACAAACAACCCTACTGGCCCAATCTGACCCCTGCAGTGAGCACAGCCACCTTCAAGGTAAGAATTTGTCACATTGTGTTTGTCATGTAAACAGCTCAGCCATCCCCATGGTGCTTTAACACAAAAAACAGAGAGGAAATCTCCCAGTTTGCCAGGACTGAGTTTGCCCCTCATGTCACTAATGCTTTCGGGAAGATTCTGAGCACATTTGGGTCCTGCTCAGCAAAATGGATTTTGCCTAAATACCTCTCCTCAGGGTTTCTATGGATTTGCTTTGCATAAGTGGGAATGTGGATGCTTCCTTCCAGGAAATCTCAAGCAGAAGGGTGGTGCCATGTCCAAGCTGTGCACTAAATCCTATGCATCACATTTCTAGGAGAAAAAAATAAGGCGACAAGCCCAGGGAAATGCAGACATTATGGCAGCAGTCCTTTCAGTTGTGGTGCAGCAATGCAAGGAACAGAACTGGGAAGGAGAAACCAAACTATCAACATTATGGAAAAGAAATGCCATCATGACTAGAAGTGAAGAGATTATGGAACAAACGGAAAAACTGGCAACACCGTATTGAAGTCAGAGTGTGGAATAAACGTTATAAAACCATTACCCACTCAGTAGCACCTTTTCTTCCTCCATGAAAGAGGGATGCTGAAAAGCACTCTAGCCCTGTCTAGACAGACTGACTGAATTACTCACAAGCAAATCACTCCTAGGTTTATTACTGAGACTCCTAAAACTCCTGGTAACTCCTAAAAGATGAGGTGAGTCATTTTCAACTGTGTGTGTCCTTCAAGGCCTGTAGCTTTGCCACTCCGCATCTTTCTTCTCTAGAATTGCAAATATGGAAAATAATGTGGTCACTGTAACCGGCATGGGATACTCAGCCACAATGATTTTTGCAGTATCAGAGGATTTCTCTGGTGAACACAGCTTGGAAACATTTCTAACTAAATGTAGTGTCATTGCTGATTCTTCCTAGCTGAGAATCAAACTAAAAAATCTTTCTGGTTTTCACCAAGCATTACTGCTATGCAACAATAATGAATGCTCTTAGAGCATCAAGCTTTCTAAATACCTAACTCTCTGGTATTTAGAGACATTTCCATTTGCAGAGTTACCTTTTTCTGCCATTAGGATAAAATTCACATCCCATGGAAATCAAAGAGCAGCAGAAACATCCACCAATGAATACCTGATCAGATGTTGCTCTCTATTTTTCAGGAGTATTGAGCACTTGCATCACCCAATGTCACCAAAACCTGGTATCAGTGAATATCTGTGGAAAATGGCTTCTAGGTGACTCCATCTGGGCATTCAGCAAATGAAGTATTCAAATTAGTGAAGTCATGTTTTACTTCAAAGAGTTGACTGTAAGAGTCTTGATGATAAGAGATTATAAAGGTTAACAAAAATGATGAAAATATTTACAATCACAGCTGTAGATGGTTACAAGCATATCAAGAGGTACTATTAAACATTAGCAGTAATCTCTAGGCCTGAAACCTAGGACACATCATTGCTAGCTACTCATTTTTTTTTTCTTAAGTCTTATGTTGACTGTTTCACAGACAGCACCCATAAACCAAAGATGTGAAAAAATGGCTTTGGGAGGGAAACTTTCCCCTGCATTAATGAAGAGAGATGCACTAATTTAAATGGCTCCTTGCTCCTTCATGCCCACTGAGGAACCGGTCATTAGCCTAGGCATCTTGCACCCTGGAAAGCTCAGGCAATTTCCTTTCCAGTGAGCTATGCATTATCTTCCCTTCTGAAAAAAGCTGCTCTAGTGTGTGGATAACACCTGACTTGCTGACTGCAGATAAAAGCAGACACAATTGCGTGCTCTGCCTTTGAGGTTTTAAATGAGACCAGATTGCACGTAAAGGGCTCAGAGCACACCAAAGTCCATCACATTAAAGATTTACATGTATGGTAACTGCAAAGTACAAGAAGCCTTTCATTGCAACATCTCATCAATTCATTTTTACTCTTGGAAATAAAAAGCACAGCAAGGAAAAGGGGAAGTACTACCATGTTCTAAACTGTTGTTTTTCTTGCTTGATTTGCTTTAAACAGACAGGTGATGAAGACAACAGGTTTGATTAACTCCTTGCAAAATTCTAGATCCCTCCAGAGGGTGACCAGTAATATTCCCATCACTGCCATTTTCAGGATGACATGAATTAATCATCCAAACCTTTTAATCACTCCTATCTCTTCATGCAGGGCTTGCCTTCTGTAGGATGTACTATTTAATGAGCTCATATCCTGGTTTCTTCCTTGCCCTCCACCCACGTAGTACAAGGTCCCAGGAGCTCTGCTCTCATCCAGGAGGTGGCAAGGCCCTCATTCAAACACCAGATGGTACACGGCTCCTTGCTCATAGTTGACAAATATTACATTTCCTCAGTAGAGAGTTCTTAGAGGCACAGGAGTGCAGATAGGGAAGAATATAGAGATCTACACTGCTTTTGGAGACACACAGAATCACAGAATCACACAGAATCACAGAATCACCCGGGTTGGAAGGGACCCCAAGGATCATGTAGTTCCAACCCCCCTGCCTATCAGGGCCACCAAACATACACATTCAGATCAGGTTGCCCAGGACCCCGTCCAACCTGGCCTTAAACACGTCCAAGGACTGGGCATCCACAACCTCCCTGGGCAGCCCGTTCCAGGGCCTAACCACTGTCCTAGTAAAGAACTTCCCCCTAACATCCAACCTCAATCTTCCCTCCTTCAACTTAAAACCATTTCCCCTAGTCCTGCTGTTGTCAGCCCTTTTGAAGAGTTTACTCCCCTCCTGGGTGTAGGTTCCCTTCAGGTACTGATAGGCTGCAATGAGGTCACCCCGCAGCCTTCTCTTCTCCAGGCTGAACAAGCCCAACTCCCTCAGCCTGTCCTCATAGGGGAGGTGCTCCAGCCCCCTGATCATCTTAGTCGCCCTCCTCTGGACCCTTTCCAAAATCTCAATGTCTTTCTTGTACTGAGAGGTACAAGTTGAGGTTCTTCTTACCAGTCCGTTTTATCTTTAGGCCAGCCTCGTCCTCCCAGTCCACAGTAACATCCGTAGCCAATATATGCCAAGGGAGACCGTCCCGTGCCACATGATATAGCTCCTGCTAATTCAATGATTCCTCGGGTGTGTAGTGAATGGGATTTTCCCAGAGTACTTTTCCAAACTGCAAAGACAGGACATGGTTTCACACAAGGATTAAAAATACGCTAATTTTCTTAAAACCTTCACAGGGAGATTATTGGCCTTGACTAGTTATTTAGATCGAGCCTCAACAATCTAACTAGCCATTATGTTCACCCTGCAAAGGGAACTAATATGCAAACATACTCCATATAGGCAGCTCAGATAAGCCAGACTTCCTTGCTCTGGTGCACCAGTGTGTGACTGTAGCTAGACTGCATCTGCAGCTACCTTGCAATTTGAAGCTGCATGCCCAAATTTGCACATTATGGAATCTGAGAAGTTCATCTTGGCTGGGGTTATGCAAGCTCCATGCAGAGCCAAGTAGGTTCACTGCACTGTAGAGTTCCCAACCTGGCAGAGCATATTGGCTAGGCAAAGATCCTGGTGCATTGTGAAGCAGCAGTGAGCCACCACACTGCCTGACTGCATCCTAACTCCACAGAAAAAAAAAAAAAAACAAACCATGAGGTTTCTCTGTTGCCCAACATGCCTTGTATTATTCATGATATTTTAACTTGTTTTCCAGATCATACAGAGCTGACAGTACTACTAACTTTCATCCAGAAACAGCTACAAGCCCTCAGGCCTGCAAGGCATACTTTGTTCAAGACAGAGGGCCTACGTTAGCCATTATCCACACATCCTAGCTTTCTTATGAGCATTTTGAAGCACTGGCAACACACATTTGTTTCTGTTACTACAGTCCACTTAAGTCATAATGCTAAGTTGGCTGCAGAAATTTGGGGAAGAAAAAAAAAAAAAACAACCAGGAAAAAACAAGAAGTTCTTTGTTACTTGAAGTTCAGACAACCACCTAAGCCAATCTGGAGTTTTTTTGAGTTACAGATCTTTCAAATAATATCGTGATTTCAAAAGTTTAATTTAAAACTTTTTTTTTTCTTTATAAAGAGAACCACCAACTTAGTTGCAGAAACTGTTACAGAAACCAAGAGTATCAGCCCCAAACACATAAATCACTTTGAAGCTCGATAGGAGCTTTGATGCTTATCACAATAACAATGCAACAAACAGCAGTGATTAGCGATTACCCTCCTGGGCTCACAATGAACGACCAAGTGTACTTTGGGCTCTACCAACATGCACCACAGCCCATCCCCATTAAGGCTGAGCAGCTCACTGCTGGTACCAAACCCCTTGGAGGTGCTGCCAGGCTCCCCAGCATTGGCCCCACTGCCCCCTGGCTGTTACATGGCCTGAGCTTAGGATGGAGCTCTCAGCATTCTGGAGCCTGAAGGAGCTCACAACACAGAGCAGGGCTTTGACCCTGAGCTGGACCTCTTTATAGTACTGTGCAAACACGGGTTAATTAATCCCCTAAACCACTCGGGGACTCAATACTATTATTAAAACTGTTACTTTCCTTTTAAAACCCAGTCATCTAATCCCCTCTCTTGGGCCTCTACCCTCTTGTACTCCAGCTCACTTTCTGGGTCTGATCCAAACCCCTCTGAAGGCAATGTGGGTCTGTCCCCATTACTGTCAATCTGTCCATTTGCTCCTCTCTGCTAATGGAGGGCTTGCAGCCCAGCCCCCAGTGCTTCTGTCATCATTTTACCCCAGCAGCTAGCTGCAGCCAGCTCAGAAGAGCGAAGCCCCTGTCTCAGGCCTTCACACAGCCTCCTTATGTTTCCAGTGCACTCCTCAGGGATTAAATGCACATTCCTGAAAAAGTAACAACTCCCCTCACCTGAACACTACTTGAGTGTTCAGTTTTTGTGCTAAAAACACATTAAACCCATGTTGTTTGAAAGTGAAGTGGTGACCTGTTTCCCTTGTCCAAACAGTGGATGCTTCACAGTCAGCAGCAAGCTGCAGGTCTGCCACAAGTAACGCCACCAAAACTGCTGAACTGCTCTGGATTTCAGGCAAAAATAAAATAAAATAAAATAAATCACACTTCTACAACCTGCTTTAGACTGCAGACCTAAAAACATTCCAACAGAAACCTCTTTGTAGGTGTTCAACCTTCTTCCTGAGAAGGAGCCTGGTTTATTTTTCAGCCATCTTTCCTGACCTTTTAAGGTGGGACCACTGGACTCAGCCTGGAAACAGAGGCTGGTGTAAGGTAACTGCCTCACCCAGAAGAAAGACTATTCTTCTTCTGGGGATATCTCTGAGGATCAAGGAACTGTAATTACTGCACAGAGTTACTTATGAAAGCAGAGAAAAGGACCCAGAGGGAATTGAGTCCAGAAGAAAGGCCTTAAGCTTTACTCCTTGAGAGTTTGACATAATTAAGATACTCAGGCAGCATCTGATGTTTGTCTTATCCTTTGAAATCTGGGTGGGCTTAGAGCTGGCAGCAAGGTACTGTAGCTGATGGCTGGCCTTAGAAAGCAATTTCACTATCAAGTGTTCAGTTAATAACTGGAGCAGAACCAAAACTGCATTTTCTATGCTGGGCAGCTAAGCAAAACGTGTGGAATCAGTGAGAGAGACAAGTCTCCCCAGCAGCTTGAAATCAGCCACAACCCCCATTAAAGTATGGTCTATCATTAGCTATACAATGAATGGGGAGCCTCAGCAGGGAGCATACCTGCAAGGAGACAGAGGAGGTGGGTCTGACAACTTAAACCTGCTATTTCCTTTTGAGACAAGCAGCCTTTGTTGTAGATTAAGGCAATGGTTTTTTTTTTTTTGTTTTGCTTTTTAAAAACAGTGCTACAGATACAGCCCACCAGGACAAGAAAGTAGACATAACAGTCTCAAAGGGTGGAAATTCTAGTTTGCCAAGCACAAGTATAAACAGTTGATCACAGATATGCAAAAAATGAATGAGAAAAACAATTTAGCCACAAGTATGGCAAACATACAATGATGTGTTGATATCAAAAAGAATGGATGAGAAAGTGTCCTATAAATCACTTTCTGGTTCTTTAAGGCATAACTGCATATTTAAAAAATACACCTATCATTAAGGAGATGAGATTAAAGCGGGACAGCAGCTATTCCTTCCCAAATCTATAGCCTTCCACTCCATGATACACATTCCCAGTGAAGTTGAAATGCAGTAACCAATTAGATACTGTAAAGAAAAATGTTTTGTTTTTTTAACAGCTACATGTAAATAACCTCACTTCCATTCAAGAGGTACTTGCTTTGCAAAGGATCACCAGGCACCTAATTCTGTGCAGAATTAAAATAGAGACCCTTGTGTGAATTCTGACTGTGTGTTCTTATGGGCATGAATCCCAACAGTGATAGCACAGGTAGAACCTCAGACAATTCACTGTCACAATGCTATTGCGTGCAAGGTCTTTATGTTAGCAGATTCATTGCTTTTCTTAAAGGATTTTTTTTTTGTTTTGAATTTTGCATGAAAGGAAGGCCAGGTTGGATGAGGCCCTGGTTAGCCTGATGTGGTGGGTGGCAACCCTGCTCACAGTATGGGGCTGAAATTAGGTGGGCTTTGAAGTCCCTTCCAACCCAACCATTCTGTGATTCTACGAAGATGGCTCACTGGGCAGAAACATAGAAAGAAGGCACTTCTGCAAAAAAACACCAACACCAGCAACCTTGCAGCAGAAAATTATCCTCAAAAGAAAGTAATCTGTGTTTTTGCTATTGAAGCCACCATGGAAACAAAACAGGCACACAGCTTGCTTACACAGTCCCACACTACAAAGTTGAAGAGAAAAAAAAAAAGGCAGTGCAAATACTATGGGTGAAGTAGGCAAAGGTGGCAGCAAGGGGAGAAGCTGTCCAGGGTAGGTGGGGGGGGAGGGATGGAGTGTGGGATGTAGCACTCACCTGCCTGTAGCAGAAGCAGCAGCAGCAGCCGCCAGCCCATGGGCAGAGCTCCTCGGTACCGGTACGATGCTGTACTGGCATTCAGCAGCCCAGTGCTGCCAAGCAAACGGAGGTGTGGGTGTGTTCAACAGCCCTCCTCTTCCAGGGTTTTTATGCATATACATCTGCCTGCGTCCGCCTGCAAGACAGAAACACTCCCTCCTGCGACTTCCCTCAGTCCCAGCCAAGTCCCAGACCTCCCCAAAGGGCTCCCTGCTGTGCTGCTGAGGGCGAGGGCTGCCCTTGTGTTCGTGCCAGTGGCTCCACGAGGGGCTGGCATCCCTGAGGCAGCCCCAGCATTAAGCTGTGTTCCTTCACTAAGCTGTTTTCTTACAGACCCTGGTTAACCTCTGAGTGGCTTCGGAAAAGGGAAGCTTACCACTGCCCTGCCTGTGGCTTGGGCTTTTCTGCTGCAGCATCCACCCGACAAGGATTCTCCCTTTTTATAGATATTCTTTCAGGGTGTATATATATAAAAATATATATATAAAGATTATTTATCATATTTAAAAAAGAAGAAACAAAACTATAAACACCTAACAGAAAAATAATCCTGTTAGATACAAATATCTAATTATAAACTGACCAACACAGCTAATTCTAAGCCACTCCTGAGGCAAAAATACCCACTATTGCTGAACCTATTACTGCACCTGACCAATACCAACTAATTTCCTGGACACTGCCCAGTACGTGGGTTCCAACCACAGACGGTGGTTAGGATCAGGTCCTAAGGCTGAGCTGGCATATACTGAGTTCATTCCAGTTGCTGCAGGCAGCCTGACTGCAGAGACAGTGGCTGCAACAGGCTGCTCCACTGGGAGAGGAAGAGAAAGAGAAAGCTGTCAGCCTGTTCCTGAGGCACCCCTTGATGACATTCACTGTGGTAAAGCTGTGCCTCCCTGCTTAATGGTGTGCTTCTAAATATTTGCTTGCTAAACATTGGCATTTGAATCAAAGGTCAGTGGCAAGTGGCTTACTTGGGCTTCCTTTTTCTGAGCACAGTCTGGCTGCAGCTGCAATCTTTACTGGGCAAGTTTTCAGGGCACTGTTATATACTGGGTACCTATTGTGACACAGAGCACATGAGAGAACAGAGGTAGGCAAAATAGGCACAGCAACAGAAATGCAAGGCATGGACTTCACCAGTCATGCAACTGCTCTTCACTCAGAGCTCAGATGGGCAAGTACAATCCTGCAGTGACTGTGAGCCTGAAATCTCACCTGAAGGCTCACCACTACCTCTGCCATGGGCTGTATGCTTGCACCAGGAAAGGGAGGAAAGCAATGGGAGGACAGCACCCAACCACAAGTTCACGTGCAGTCTCACAGTGCCCAGGAGTAGCTGTGCAGCTTATCCTTCCTTCCTCGGGAATTCCCTCAAGTAATTAGACCGAAATGGTAATTTGAAATCCTTGTTGAGCTACTGCTGGCTAATATTTAACCTCACAGTTAAATAAGGAAGGAGGATGTTAGAGGGTTGGTGTCCCTACTCCTAGGGCTTTAGGGATGCAGATCATCAAAACAGGAAGCGCAAATAAGGTGAGAAGCTTTAAAGAATCTTGTGGGGGCAGACTGAATAAGGCAGCCGTTAGAGCGAGTTTCAATGGCAGACACCTGAGAGGTTGTCATCTTCAGTGGGGACCAAAGGAGTGGTGTGGTAGATTACTTACTGGATTCTCAGGGTTCCTAAGCCAGGAGATGAACTAGAAGCTGCACAGTGCCTAAAGGACTGAGAAAAATACAGATTGAATGTTGTATCTTGTCCTGGTATCTTAGCGACTCCTTGCCTATGTCTGTTGTTTGGTTTGCACTCTACCTCCAGTCTGCAACATAAAAATTGACTTTCTCAACAAGGAAATCAGGGACCAGGACAAGTAGCAGCCAACATTCACTTGTGAAAACAGTTGTGCACACCCAAAGGGGAGCTCCACTGAACCTCTGGCAGGAAAGTGAACACAGAGATAGTAACCTGCTGCTTAACTCTGATGGACTGTCTGTCACTGTAAGTAATCTGCAAAGCCAGTTTGAGTGCTCCAACCATCTACTCTATGGCTTGGATATATCTGAGTCATTTAGGTTTGAAATGTACATTTAATGTTTTTATTTCAAAGTCTTCCTGAATTACAAGCCTGACCAAAAAGGCATTACAGCATTCAGATCACAGTTTCATTCTGTTCTTTACTTTTTCATACTCCCCTCCTCTGGAAATACTGTTTTTCCCCAGATCAGCAATAAACACAAAATACATACAGACTCCTCTGATAGCCAAATGTATTTGCCATGTCTGAAGAAGAATTCAAGTATTGCTTCCTTCTGATTACTTCACATTGCAGATTGGTTGAATTTGTTATCTATCTGTGCAATTACTGATTGCTGTTGCCAAAGTTAATTAACATACAAATGAAGAGTATCAAATTAAGTGTTAATCATGGTCTCACTATGCTATGGTAAGCATATTGGGATCATCAGGACATTTTTATAATTGCTTAGGGAAAGTAAATGAATTCTCTTATTTCACTTCCTTCATGTGTATTTTGTATGTTACTCTGCTGGAACCTTGCTAGTAACAGAAGGTAGCACACAAGGGTATTGGTTATCATCTCAACAAACTGAGCTATACAGACAGGTCACCACTTCTCCAAACCTGCACATAGAATAAATTCACTGTGAGTCTCAGTTGACTTACTTGTGTGAATTGGTCTACACAATCTGAGGGCTATTCAGGGTGAAATAGCTCTGTAGGAAAAAAATAGAAATCCCATTGGTTTGCACCACCAAAGCAGCTGGCCCTCCATTTCTTCTTGGGTGCAGGGATGAAATATTACATGCTCTTGAGCTTCCTGTTACTGAAAGTGATTATTAGAAAGTCTTCAGACAAAGGGAAGAAAAAACTACGAGCACTACACAATATTTAATGATTTTTACCTGATGATTTTTGAGATGCATGTACTCGTAGAAGCAAGGCTATCCTTTATCCAGTACAGGCTGTTCTTCAGATGAAATACCCAGCTATTTCTGTGGGTGTCAGCACCAATGGCAAGGTGAGGCCTCTGCAACACTGAGGTTTCTTCAGTGCAGTGTGAATTAGCAGTTCTGTCTCTCCAAAATATTGATGTATAGGAGCATGACAGAGGAGACTCAGAGACAGAGAGCAACAGTTTGTGTAGTGGCAGTTAAAAGATAAAGCCAGATATAGAGTGGAACAAGATCCATATGAGCCATTAAGAGGGGAAAAAATAACTTCTAGGACTGCAAAAAGTTCATGCTGGGAAGTTAAGCAATAGAGTTAATACAGCAAGATAGTAAACGTTGTCTAATATGTTTCTTGAATGAAAGGTCTGCTCATGATTTACTGACAATACAACCTTGTCAGATTTAGATGAAGACAGAGCATTATTGTTGTTTCCAGATTACAACTGAGACCCAAAAGAAATTTGTACAGTGCCTACTGATCTGCGAGTGCCAGGTGTGCAGCATCTAAGGCTTCACTGCTACAGTGCTCTGAGGTCTTAACTTCATGGTGATATATTTCCAAAAAGAGAAGCTTGAGAAGTACAGAAGGGAGAAATGCTATAGGACAGGCAAGCTTAGAGAAGAGGCTCAAATCCTCCAGAAACTGTCAGGGTTTAGTGGACACTGCCTTACCTAAAGCAACTGTCAGGGCAATGGGGTCATATCCCCTAAAAGATTTAAGGCTGAAACAGCTTTTAACCACAGCTTGCCAGGATATCAGAAGTGCAGCATGCACAATGTAACATAGCTGATGCTAGAAAATAAGGGAAATAGCAGAAATAAAGGAAATCCCAAGTGATCCAGCCTCAGCCTGACATGTGGCTGACCAAGTAGGAGAACAGAAATAATGGGAATAACAGAAATAACCTCCCGCATTCAGCGTCAGCCTGGTATGTCCCTTGACAAAGGAAGAAAACAAAAATAACTAACATAAGGAACGTAAGCTCCACAGTAAACCAATGAGAGTCATGCTTTAGAAGACAAAGTCAAAAAATAATTGAAATAATGGACCCTCAGAGCCTTGCTTTTTTTTTTCCCCCCCTCTCCAGACTGAAGAGCAACAGCTCACCCAGCCTATCCTCACAGCAACAGCGTTCCATTCCAAGATGATTTCTGCAGCCCTACTCTGGACATTGTCCAACAGGTCTGTCTCTCACCTGTACTGAGCAAACCACAGCTGGATGCAGTATACCAGGTGAGGCCTCACCAGCACAGAGAAGAAAAGCAGGATCATCTCCCTTACCCTTCTGGCTATTCTGACTTAACGGATGGCAGGATACAGGCGGAAATAAAGGAAGAAGCATCCAGATAAAAGATATGGAAGTGCAGCAAATCAGAAAACGTATAAAAATGATGACAGAAAGACACAAAAAAAATCTATCAGAGAAATAACCTCCAGAGAGTAGAAATAGCAGTCCAGCACGTAGAAAGACAAACAACAAAAAGCAACAGGAGAACTGGCAGTTCAGATGACAGACTAAGAAAAGTTACGGAAATCAAGGAGATAATGGAGGTAGCCTACCTACAAAAGGAATGGCAATCCAGCACTTCTGATGACTTCAGAATCTTTACGGCAGCAACGCGGCAGCAACACCCTGCACTACAGCTATAAGACTAAGAAAAGTAACAGCAACCACTCAGGAACTGCTTCCTGGGAGTAGTTATGGAAGTCCCCACTTCAGCTGACAAAGAAAAATCACGCCATCCACACGCCATCCACACGCCATCCACACGCCATCCACAC